ACCAGGGCCCCGAGCCTGGAAACCCAAAGAAAATGACGAGGAAGAATTCCATGGGGCAACAAGCCCACGCACGTCTTCTGACACAGAGGTCACCACCAGCCATGTGCCTTAAACATGGTTTTTAACTGACTCAGCGCCACATGGACCAAGAATGTTTTCTTCCCAGAAGGGCTGCTTTTCCCATTTGGAGGAAGCTCCACTGAGTCTTTTCTGTGGTCTTTATTGAATAAACCTTCAGTGAGCACCTCCCCGAGTCAGGCTGTGTGCTGGGGCCTGGGCCTGCCTCCGGGCCCTGGCCTCCTAAGAGGGAGGCACCAAGGGGTGGCCGGCTCTCTGGCTGGGAGGATGGCGTGCGTGCTGGCGCCACTGTCTCCCAGAGGCGGGACCCGGCAGGTAGAACAGGTTTCATCTGAGATCTTGACTCTTCGTCCCCACATGGGGAAAGAGGAGCTAGAGTGCCAGGCCCTGGCAGAGCCAGGATTCAAACCCACGACACCGGCCCGGAAGCCTGTACTTCTCCACGGGGCCTCCCCCGTTCCAGCTTCCTGCTCCTACTGCCCTGCCCCTCTGCCCGGGACTGCCTCCATCTCTTCCTCCCCTGATGCTCCCACCACCTCCACCAACCCTTCTCTTGAGAAAATGGGGTCTTCATCCAGAGGGTGGCCATGGAGTCTCTGCTGCTTCCTGATGCCTCTGGGCTCCAGGGAGTAGGGTCTGTGGCACGAGTTGGTGCTGTTTGTCCTACAGTTCACAGATGTACCTAATAAGAAAATCTTTCATGTCATTTGGGCCTCCTGGAGAGCTAATGGCTTGAGACTTGTTATTTTCATGACAAGCCCTATTTAGAGAATGCAAGTGTGGTTTAATCTGTTACAAAAGTCTAGTAACATAAGACACCACAACAGTAAGTCAAGACAAAAACCAATCACCTTAATAAACAGTAATCGGATGAAATTCAATCTATTTTATTCTAGTTAATCTACTCTAGATTTTTAAAAAACACTAACATGAAATGAAAGCATAATTCCTTAATACAATAAAGATCCCCAAGCCTGGGGCAGTGGTATAAAAGGAGTTCCATTAAAGGCAGACATGGAACAAATAGGCCCAAGATCAGTACAGTTGCTTAACATTAATCTGGAAGGTCTGGCTGCTGTGATAAGGAATAAACCACATTAATATGTGCAGACAGTATACTAATGTGGCTAAAAACATTCAAGAGGATATACATTAAAACTCAGAACTAATGAAAAGAGTTCAGAGACTGGCTGCTTACCAGATACAGATACAAAAAAATCAAAATCCTTCAACAAAACTCAGAAGAAAAATATTTTACACTGTAGCAACAAAACTAGTAGCCAGGAATAACCACACACACACACACACACACACACACACACACGTCCTACATGAAGAAAATGATTCAATTACTAAAAACTAAAGGATGACTTGAATAAATTGAGAAGCATACCATATTCTTGAATTTGAAAGATTAACATAAATTGATTCTAGCCCAAAATAAAAATACAGGTTTGACACATTTCCATCTAAAATCCCAATATAATTTTTTGATACTTTCTATTTACCTGGGGGAGAAAAAGCCCAAGATGGATTTTATAACTGAGTAATGAAAATGGATTTTTTCACATATCAAAATGTATAAAATGTCAACACTTAAAAGAGTGTATCAGTTAAGAGTAGACTAACACCCAGATTATGAGAATTCTATACATAAGTAGCAGACAGACAAATCAATTTCTACTATTCAATAAAAGGAGCTAGGAAATTGGACAGTATTTGGAAAAACAGCTTAACCTGAATCTTCACCCAGCATTGTATCATTTAAGTAAAGTTTTTAAATTTTTTAAGTTTTAGATTTACAGAATTATTGTGAAGATAATACAAAGAGCTTCCATATATCCCACACCCAGTTTTCTTTTTTTTTTTTTTTTTTTTTTTTTTTCCGCAGAAAGTCAGCAATGATTTATTTGTGTCCCTCCACTGAATTGCCAGCAAGGTCCCCGTTTTCTAGAAGTGTTGGGCCAATACTCTCTCTAGTGGCGGGGGACTCAGACAAGGCTGCTTTGAGGGCCCCACCCCCGCTCCAGGGCAGGGGCACGGAGCGGCCAGGGGCCCGGGCAGGAGACTCTCCCGCGTGTGTCCCAGTGGCCCACCCGTCTGCGACCTTCGGCCGCCTGGCAGGAAGCTACGACGCCCAGTCCTACGGCTAGTCATTCCTGCAAGAAACACTGGAACCAGTTTCTACCAACCCAGCAAAAAAGGACGACTTCAAAGGCAACGTGGTGTCACAGGAAGGGCTTGTTTCTGTGTTCGTTTGCTTTTAGTTCACTAGGCCTCACTTAAAATTCTGATTCCACAATGCACTTGCTCTGGGATCTTGAACAACACTCACAACCTCTGCAAGTTTCAGTAGAGTAAGTTTATGTGATTACCTTCATCTGTAATATCCCTGTGTTGCAATCTTAATTAATTCAGATTAATTCATCTTAACCTTAATCTCAAGTTCAGATCAAAGTCTAGCTCCTCTGTGACTTCTCCTCTGAACTGATTCAAAAGCCTTCTCTCCCGTCCTCATTTGGCTTCTCTGCTCTTCTGGAATCTCATAAGAACTTCTATGACCTCTTTGGTTTTCTGTTGTTGCTCTTGTCTGTTTGTTTGTTTGTTAATTGAAGTAGAGCTGATTTACAACGTCGTGTCAGTTTCAGGTGTACAGCACAGTGACTCCGTTTTCAGGCTCTTTTCCCTTATAAGTTATTACAAAATGTGGAGTAGAGTTCCCTGTGCCACAGAGGAGATCCTTGTTGTATCAATTCTATGCCTTCTTTGAATGACCGTAGCACTTGTTGTCTGTATCATTTTTATGTCTGTTGTGGCTTTGTGGCTGAAAATGAAAATTTTCTATTTGTTCATGTCCTGGCCCTTCCTTAAAAATGTGTTCATTTACCTAGTTCATATTTATTGACTACATCTTAGACACCGTGTTAGCTGCTTGTTCTAGATGTTAGTAAACTACAGGCCTTCCTGCTCAAAGGGTCACAGTATTTGTGGGAAAACAGAAAAATGAACGACTCATGTCTCAAATAGCTTTGTACTTCCCAAAGAGAGCACGCCTCGTAGGTACGATAAATACATGTATTATACATAAATGTATAAATAGTTAACGGCATTAAAAACTTGAGATAACTGCTTTTCTATTCTGAGGAAATGATGGCTGTATTTCACCAGGAGCTCAATACCACTCTGAGAATGAGGGCTTAACCCCTGACCTGGCTCACTGCATCGCTTTCTTATATGAAAATAGACAAGTCTGTACATACTCTCTACAAAAAGGCTTATCTGGCATGAATTTCAGATAGCAAGAAGAAAAATTCAAGAGGTGCAGAGAAGCATCCAGAAGCTCAGATGATTGTCTGGCACTAATACAACTTGCTTGACAGGAAAACAGAGCTGTAAATCTCACGAAACTAGATGATCTTCTAAGGCTTTCAAAACCTCCTGCTATTAACTAGAAATCCTAGAAGAACCGCTTCTTTTAAAGCATACTGATAATATGCTTTACAGCTTAATATTCAGAAGCCTACGTTTTGGCTAAGTGAGCTTCAGGAATGAAGGAAACTTGTGGTTCCGTTCCATCTACTCTGGAACCGGGTCAAAACACCTACTTCTGTGCTCAGCCATCTTATTATCATCTGTAAAATGGAGGCAACTCTAAGAAAACATAGTTACAGAGATGTTGCACAGTTTCCTGTGTCATTGTCTTCATTTGTTTCAGAAAACCAATAACGTCTAAGCTACTACTGCAAAGAGTGCAGTGTTACTTGGGGTCATCTAGTGCAGCTCTGTCAAAGGAAAGAAAAGGAAAGGGGCCTAGAATAACCATAATTTTCCCAAGAGGATACTATTATTTTATGGTAAATCTGAGTCAAGAACCCTGATCTCTTTGATGCCATTCCACTGTTCTTTCGTTGGGTTCTCAACAAGCCAGAGAAAGAAAGAGAAATAAAACTCCTCCTATGTGCTGTGTCATTGGTACAGGACGTGGCAAGACTGGAATTGGAGAACTACATATTAACAGGTATTTGGGAAACTCTTCAAACTAATTAAGATATATACCAGGTACATCAAAAACAGTATGTTTTCCCAAGATGATTCTGTGCAATGAACAGAACTGGTAACTGAAGGTGCCTGTGTGCTACAGTTCCAAACAGGATGGGTGAATGCTTGTTTTCTGGCACCTTTAAAGACTCCACCCCAATATACACATTAAAATAAAATTAACATTTCAACTGGGTTATATTTAATTCTGCATGCTCTTGTAAGTCAGCAAAATATTCCATATATAATTTAAGTTGTCACTCACCACTCACTTTCTTCTCTCTTTTTTTTTTTGCGGTACACGGGCCTCTCTCACTGCTGTGGCCTCTCCTCCCG